CCATGTTTTCACTGTGAGGCACGATACGTTGTGTTGTCTCGCATAAGGTTTTCAAGATACATTGGCGACCGTTGTATCCCATACTGAAAAGAGGTTTTTTGAAAAATTAAATGTTGAAAAGTATACAGAAGCTAACTTCTCGCGGACTAAGGTAGTACATTTCTTATAGTGCATGGTGTCAAACGAGCAATCGGCCACTGGAATATACCAAAACAGCAAAGTGGGTACTGCCCATAGATATACGCGTTTGGTAAACAGAGGTCGGGACACAAAAAGGATATTTACTCTACGTGTGCGTCGCATTGTCAACGGATTTTTCTAAGATTTATTTATTTTTAAAATGGTATCTATATTGGCTACAGTTTTAAAAAAATAATGGCGATGTAACTATGGATATCAAATTAAATATATCAAAAATAAATAAAAAAGCACCCAACATCGGATAGACTCATTAAAATCAACAACGATGTAACGTAAAAATCACATCAACTCATTGTTTACGTCGCTAGCCTCAAGCCATCAACAAACCGCAAAATGAAATAATAAAAAAAAGGAATTTTTCGTAACGAAAACAAAACTAAGGCCATTAGACAAAAGAATTTTCGACGGAGAGATTGAAGAAATGCCCAAAGGCGTCATATTTTAAAGAACGGTTTTTATTTTTTATATAAACACCGTAAATCCTTAAGGTAAATGGAGACAATTTAGCGCCTAAAAAGTTTAATAACCTTCAGCGAGTGGAAAGTAAAGCGATAAACAAAATAAACAGTTTCATCAAAAAACTCATCAGGATATTATGTTTTTATAAATTGTACTCCATTGAATGTGGATGGCTACAAAGGTAGAGAAAGACCGAATAAAGTATGGATGGATTGTGTGAAAGAGGATATGCTTAAGAAAGGAGTGGATTCAGATATGACGGCTGATAGAGATGTATGGAAGAGCAGCACATACTATGCCGACCGTAAGGGATAAGGGCAAGTGGATGATGATGAAATTGTACTCCATTACTATGTGTATAAAACCCAAGGTACCAGGATAACATAAAACGTAATCATATTACTGTTATAAATCATTTTCGAGTATCCAATCTTAGGTCCGACACGTGTAGTATTGAAATTGGTTTTATAGAAATAATATTAGCATTTGTCTATAACATTATAATAAAGCGTACCACATACACTTCTTTGTTGCCTAAGATGTCAGCAATCACTACTAATTAAATTAAAAGCCCTACACGTACGTCACGCTTTAGTCTATATATTTTCACGCCCTTAAACTAAGGGGTAAATATTTTGGATAAAAACCCTAATGTGGGAAAGAGACCATAAGTTATTGTCAACATCAAGGAAGCAAATTTGCCATGGTTTGACAACATGTCATGTCATTTTGACATTTGCAATTGATAATTTGACAAATGTAAACAATAAAATGTTTTTTTGTATAATTTTATGCGGTCGCATAGGAACAGCTAGTACATTAAAAAGCAAATCAAATTCAAAATAAGTAGAAACATATTAACATAGAAAAAGTTTCCTGAACGATTAAAAAAGTACCTATAAAAACCAAAGAGATTGTAATGATTCAAATGTAGAGCATTAAAAATACTTTGAGAGCGGGCGCACATCTTTGACTGAACTATCGCACAACCGTTATGCAATTGTTGATTGTCAATTGTTTCGTAGTCAATTCAACTGTTTAGTTGCACAACTAAAAATCAAATACTGAGCACACTTTCATATAAGCTCATAAGACTCAAAGCGCGAATAAACACTTGGGCGACAGTTTAATCAAAATTGTGACCGCTCTTATAATAATAGATTACAATGACTACATGTACAAGCACTACAATTAAAACAGTGGTACTGCCCTGTCTAAACTTACTTGTCAAGTATCAGTTCCATTTTCTCATATAATTGTCGTCTACTTCTGCGTTGAGCGACTGGTTTTCTATACTTTTTGCGAAAGAATTGTGCAGTCTCAGTAGTGTTAGGCAGCTCGTAAGCTATACCCCAATTAAGACCGAATGTAAAGGTTCCCGGGGCTGAAGAAGGCGCTGGTTGTCCTATTAAACCAACTGTCATACATCCAGCACACTGAAAATGTAAATTATGTAATTATAGCAAAATATTTTACTAATGTTATAAACGCGAAAGTTTAGATGGATGTTAGAGTTTGTAGCCTAAACTGCTGAACGGATCTCGATGAAATTTCGCAAAGATAAACAATACGTACTTACGAGATATTACCCATCTATCAGTGGGGCATTATGTGGTTGTGTGTCTAAACTATAACAAAAAAACACAAAAACGTACTCGAGACTCGCTAAATGCAGAAATATGTTTATATATTTGCATTAAAATAATGGTCACCGTGTTTTGTTAAAATTAAGTACAATATTAAAGACAAATTCAAAGGAAATGCATAACAAAATTCAGCAGTTTGCTTCAATAATAACAAAAGTTTATAGATAATCATATTTGGGTCGAATAACAAAAAAACTTTAGAAGGAAACTCACCGAAAAACTCGAGCCTTCAGGAAAAGAGACGTATCGTTTCCGACGTGACAGTTTCTTGTAGCCATTTTCCCCATCATACGAAAAACATGTTTTTACAAAACAACATACCAAAGACAGTACAAGAAAACGTTTCAAATTCAACATTTTTAAATAACCTTTCAATTCGAGTCAAATTTCAGCGAAAATAACTACAATTAAAAAAGATAAAAAAGAATCTTTTGGAATTTAAGTAACCCTTCTCTTTTATCAACACGACAGATCGCAATACTATTGAAAAATGATATCGGTACACGATGTGAAATGGAACCGTGTCACATATAACGGTTACCGCTAGGGTTGCCAACTTTTCAACTTAAGTCAAATTATTCTAGTTTTTATTATGCAAGTACAGACTGCAGATTTATGGATTTTTTTAATTATGAGCATATCACCTGAAAACACTAAAATATCTTGGTAGCATTACAGCATTAGGTACACTAAAATATAGTTTATGACGATAGTGGAGAGGCGGAATTCGAAAACACGATTATGTGGCTATATTTGCCCCCTTATATTAGACTCTTTGACATCGATGTCTTAGGGTAATATTGAGTATTGTTAAACAAGTCCCTTTTAAATCTATTTTTTACCAGAGATCTAGTCTACTTTTGAAGATTTTGGCAACCCTAGTTTTCACTCTTACATTACCAACGCGCTAAAGGTGTAAATTAAAGTAACATTGCATTTGAGACAAATTTCCATTTATTAAGGTCGAAAATAGAGGTCGAAGTCTTAAGTAGGTCCTATTTTATTTCCATAATAAATTTCATTAAGGCAATTTTAATAGATACCTTTTTAGGGCAGGTAATAAACTTACAACTTCATGCATTTAGAATGAGGACCTCAATAAAATGGATATTGGACATTATTTAAAAAAAATAACATTAATATTTTATGATAGTGAAGTCGACGGAGAATTACAAAAAAATGGAACGAATATCGATTTTCACAACTGAATTCGATTCACGTTTGAAATCTGAATCGATTTTTAAGCAGTTCATCGCACTATTAAGCTAAATCTCATACTTAAATGTGACCTATTAAAAGACCTTCAAGACAATATTATGTCTTATACAATTTTTTCGACATTTTTTTTCAATCAATCAGGAAATCTCATCAACAACTAACAAGTTAAAAGTACTTCTATATTCGCGCAAAGATTAACTGAATACCTCTCGTCTGTAGAAGATCTGCAATTACTTTAACGGCTTCAAAAGGAGCCAATTGACTTTAAAACTGATATCTAAAGTGAATAACGCTTTTCGAGTTGCCGGGCTTGAGAGAAATTTCAAAGAATTTAATGGATCCAAGCTCTTATGATCGAATACTAACGTTTATGAGCACGATAATACCAATAGCTTATAAGTAACTAAATATTTTTTTACATGTATATTTTACAGAATATCTTTGTTGAAATTTTAACTTTTGGTAGATTTCTCTTGACGCTTCAACGTCTTTGAGTTGTTGGTTCCGGGAGTAGTCTTACTAATGTTATAATGCGTATGTTTAGATGGTTGGAAGGTTTTTAAGTTTGTAGCCTAAACGGCTAAACAGATATGGAATTTGGCATAGATGTCTGGAAGAACACATAGGCTCATTTTTGTTTTTTTATCCCACACAGACAAAGTCGTTGGCGAAAGCTAGTCAATTAAAAAAAATAGACACAAGGAGTGTGAATTATTAGAGAGTCAATTTTGCTTATATATTACTAATATTATACATGCAAAAGTTTAGATAAATGGAGGGAGGTTTGTTAGAGTTTGTAGCCTGAACTGCTGAACGGATCTCGATTAAAATTTGGCATAGATGTAGTGAATAGTCTGGTGCAATATCGACTTTCTTTTGTTTTCTTTATACCACGCTAAAGGAGTCACGGGTAAAAGTGTTAATATCAAGGATGGTAACTGAAGATATCTTTCGAAACTATTATTACGGAGTCTAATCAGATATGTTCGAGTCAGCTTTTGTCGTATGTCACGTAAAAATTAGGTTAATACATTGCTTATTTTATTGGCCCACTTCTCCGTATCCTTTGGATTAGGTATTTGAGGTCACGCGGAGTCGGATCAACTGAATGATTCATGAATGTTTGTATGGAAAATATTTACTAAAACATCCTTTTGGATCTTATTACATTTTTGTCCTGGACATTTGAATAAATGAGACTTCATCTTAAGAGCGGGCGCTTAATAGTCAGAGATACAACACTAGTGATGACCTTCCCTTATCAGCTTTCCTGATGAAACCTACATTACGTGAAAGAGCACATTTTTTTAAACATGTTGTAACCGGGTTGCCTAATCCTATAACTTTGAGTAAACTATCGCACAACTGTTGTGTGATTGTCGATTGTTTCGCAGTCCATTCAACTGTTTAGTTGCACAACTAAAAATCGAGTAGTGTGCACCTCCAAATAAGCTCACAAGAATCAAAGCGAGACTAGATAGGTGTGCGATAGTTTAGTTTCAGGTATCCGCACCTTCTTAGAGTTTTATTTTACATAAGCTTTCGCCCGCGACTCCGTCTGCGTGGAATTAAAAAAAAAAGAAGATTAGTAGCCTATGTGTTCTTCCAGATTATCCTCTACATCTATACCAAATTTCATCAAAATCCGTTCAGCTGTTTAGGCTACAAAATCTAACAAACTTCCATCCATCTAAACTTTCGCATTTATAATATTAGTAAATTCGGTCTTCGGTCGTTGCAAATGTTTTATGAAGCAAGACTGCCATTGTATCGGTAATTGGTTATGCATTTGAATTTTGACATTTTCAAATGAAAGATTTATGGAATATCATACGGATCAAGGCACACGTGATCAGCTCTAGGTAATAATAAAACAAAAAAGGTTAATCCAAAAAATCTTTAATAGGACGTATATTTTTCAAAAACTTATAATTAGGTGGTTAATGTACATACATTATTTGAGCTAACTTTATTATTAACTTAAATTTAAAAATTTCCTCGATACCAATCTTCTATTTTAACAAAAAAAAAAACTATAAAATATCTTAAAGTAGACTGTGATAAAATATTTCCAAATAAATTTAGCATCTATTAACAATATCCATTTTTCAAAATAATAAGCACTATTACATATTTTCAATATTTTTGTTTGTTCAAAGCCAAAACGAAATGTAGAAGGGAAAACGGGCAATCGTAGTCAGTTTCACAAAAATCAGGGTCAAGTAACTCGTTGTAAGTCCCACTCACTTCCTCCACGAACTCAGCCTCGTGTAGAGGGGCTCTAGAAATACAGATAATAATTTATTAATAAACGTAGGACAGTCGCCGAGTTAAACGGTCGATTAAAATTGACTGTGCAATCTAACTTTGACGCTACATTAGTTAAATCATACTAATATTATAAACGTGAAAGTTTAGATGGATGGATGTTTGTTTGAGTTTGTAGCCTAAGGCTGAACGGATCGCCGTGAAATTCGGCACAGATGTAGAGCATAGTCTGGAAGAACACATAGGCTACTTTTTATCGCGTAAATAGTTACGGTTCCCGTGGGGTGCATTAATTTTTTCTAATGTTTGCTTGATAACTCTGCAACGGTTCAACATATCTTATTGAAATATGGCCCAGATATAAAACAAAGTCTGAAGTACACGTGGGAAAAGGTTCATCCCCGAAAAATGTCCGGTTCCAAAGGGACACGTAGTTTTTGTTATTTACATAGTTCATCTGTTTTCTAATACGAAGCGGACGAATTTTGCATTGGTTATTAAATAATGTACTCCAATACATGCGAAGTATTACTGCCAATAAAATTCAAGCTATAAATAGACATTTGTACGGTATAACGTATAAATAAGATTATAGCTTTCTACGAGAAAATTTTTCATAGGAACTTTGATAGAAAAATATAACAAGTGAATCCGGCAAAGGGAAACTTGAGAAAATATCGTCCGACGATATTCAAAGGAATACCGTCCATTCGAAAGCGGTCTAAAGCCTCTCACAGGAGAAATCGGATTAATACGTATGTATGTGGTGAATAAAAATACTTTATATGAAAACGCTATGATTCCATGATTTTTAAAGAATCTACGAACAGCTTCTTTAATTCTTTGTCATACTTTTTTATACATGTAATAAAATTGGAGTGTCTGTTTGTTATATCAAAAGAAAAATTCCAGATTTTGGGAAGATAAGGTATTTGCGTTGCTGATAGCGAAAATCGCGTTTAAATTTTTTTTGTCTGTCAGTCTGTCCGCAAGCCACGTTTGTTCAGGGTAAGTTCCGAAACGGCTGGACTGATTACGACCGGACATCCACTGAAGGGTAGTTAACATAGACGGGCATATTATATGCGTAGACTTAGTCGCGGGCAACAGCTAGTGTCTGATTATTGACTGAAACAATCTTGTGACTAAAACAAACGGCTCTTAATTATAGAAAACAAATATTGGTTTCTATAATTAAGAGCTGTAAAATGTCCATAAAGGGCATCAATTCAATCCTTTCCCTTCGTCAGTAAGATTTATAACTCAATGGGCTTTATTTGGTTAAAAATCTTTATTGTTTTTTACATGGGTTTATTGTGATTTTTAGTATTACCCAAGAACTCCAGAAACTCTAAACTAATAAGATTTTTATTATTTGTTTAACTTAAATGTTAATGAAACACATTTTTTTTTATTCCACAACAAAAAATTTACCAATTGTTTTGCCTTGCAATCTAAAATTCAAACTCGAAAGAATAGAATTAATTCAATTTTCGTCACAATAAATACAATATTAGCTATAATAGTATGTATTTCGTTTACAGTAAAGTTGCAAATTCAATGTCCATTCGTACGTTAGGGATGTATTTAAAACCAATCACGTGGAGATAAGAGACACGTACGGGGATTATAAGGCAATTAACTCGATTAAGATATCCGAATGTAAAATAGAAACGATAGTTACAATAGAGTTTATTATCCATTTCTCTGTACGCTTTGCTTATCAAACCAGATTAAAGGATACGAGGGAAATATACGCGGAAATAAACACACTGAAGAGCTTCATATATTGGAAATTAAAGATAATACGATATAGAACTTTTTTTTCTTTATGATGTCCCATTTTTGTTTGATGTGATTTTTTTTTTCTTTTTTAAAAGTGTATTTTTTATTTTATTTTTTTTATTTCTATATAAATATGTAATTAGTACGGCCGGTTACCCTAATGCTTAAGATATATGTTACTTGAGTGCGAAGGAGCCAGCTGAAAATCAGCGCAGGAACGGCTTAGTCCGTCCTGCATACGCTGAGCTGGCTACCTTTTGCCACGAATGTGTTTCCTTTAGAATAAGTCTTTTTATGTAATTTCTATTTTGTGACAATAATTACATTTTCATTACATTTTCATTTCATTTCATTTCATTTCATTTCATTTCATTTCATTTCATTTCATTTCATTTCATTTCATTTCATTTCATTTCATTTCATTTCATTTCGTTTCGTTTCGTTTCGTTTCATTTCATTTCATTTCATTTCATTTCAACTTTATAATTTAGTATTAATTATATAAATACAAATCATAGTTATACTAATTTAATAAATGCATTGAGATAGATGTATGGTGTTAATACAGACTCTCCTTTACATTTTTATATGAGAAGGGGGCAAAAGAGCGTCGGGAACACAAAGGTGGTCAACGACGCCAACACCAGAGAAACAGATGCGTTGCTGGCCTTTGAGGAAATGATAGGCTCGCGTCTTGAAGGACCCTAAGTCGTATTGGTTTGGAATTACCGCCGAGGCATATAGATGTAGAGAATGGTCTGTAGGAACACATAGGCTACTTACTTTTGATTTTTTAAATCCACGCTGAGGGAGTCGAGGCCCAAAGCTAGTATCCAATATTAAATAGAAAAGCCTATGTAAGTTATTTAATTTATTTCAATCAGAGTATTATTTTATCACAAATTCAATCGGAATTCAAATGGTGTAAAATGCAGTAATGCCATACGTGCGTTGTGTTTGTCATCGCAACATAATTTCGACGGACAACTTCTCATATTATCAAATTCGCTAACGTAACGTGTTTTTAAAGTTCTGGACAGTATAACGTGTTGAATTTTGATTTTATAACTGACATTGTTAATAATATCCAGTTTTAAAGCGTTTTTAATACCATAATATGTATTGTAAATTTAACATTGGTTCCGTTTCATCACCGCGACTCCGACGCACTGCGAACGCAGCATTCGTGTGGCATCACTCTAAAAATCCACAAGCATTATAACGTGGTATAGTAAATTTACTGAATATTATAGTTAGTTATTCTTTACACAAAAGCAGTATCGGTAACAGGTGTTGCACTTAAGCGGATGAAAGGGTTATTAATTTTTAAACTCCTCATAGAATATACGTCAACATTAATAAGGCTAAAATCTAACAGAGCATTATTCTATTACTACTCAATCTATACTGTTATAATAAAGCGTAAACACACACTTCTTTGTTGCTTAAGATGTCAGCAATTAAAGCATATTTTTGAATAACTCTTTTTTTAATAAAAAGCCCTACACTTACGTCACGCTTTAGGCTATGTATTTTCACGACGTTAAACTTAGAGGTAAATATTTTGGATAAAAACCCTAATGTGGGAAAGAGACCATAAGTTGTTGCCAACATTAAGGAAGCAAGGTTGCCATAGTTTGACATCATGTCATGTCATTTTGAAATTTTTAATTGATTATTTGACAAATGTGAACAATAAAATGTTTTTTTTATAATATAATGCGGATGAAGTCGCATGGGAACAGCTAGTACATAATACTACTCATTACTAATATTATAACGGGGATATTTCTATATTTTTGTATGTATTAGAATAACTCAAAAACTACTGGGCCGATTTCAAACATTCTTACACAATTATAAAGCTACGTTATCAGTGAGTAACATAGGCTATGTTTTTTATTGTTTTTTTTTTTTTTAATTCCACGCTGGCTAAGTCGCGAGCAACAGCTAGTAGTATGTATGTTTACACGCTTGCCCGCCTAAAATATAAAAACAATTATCTCGAGAAGAGACATGTAGAACATTTACAGAACAGAATTTGGGTAGAAAAACTGACACTTCCAGTTGATTCTAATAATTTGCAGCACAATGAAGAATACATTTTACATTACCAACTAATGTGATGTGTTCACAAATATACTTACGTGAAAATAGCTTTCAAAATGTCATGCACTAACGATCTGCCGGGCTCCGCGAGGTACGTCTTGGCCTCACAAATGCTTCTCAGGATGCAAGCACGGCCGTTTAGATTATGACTGAAAATGAATGTACATAAAATTTTTACTCGTCGCGCCACAGACAATATATCATGAGGAATATTTATGGGTTAAAATAAATTAATTTATACAAGTTATAAAATAGATAACTGCTTGAGAGGTGTAACGATTAAGAAGTAAGTGACTCAGACGAAGGAAGATAGCCTCAGTTGTATAAATACAATGATAGCCTATGATATTTACTGATAACGTAACTTTCTAGTGTTGGAATCGGCCAAGTAGTTTTCGAGTTTTTTTAACACAGACAAAAATGCAAATCTTTCCTCTTCATAACATTAGTATAGAAGTCAAGATATTGTGATTTAAGACGAAAAAAAATAAATTAATTAAATTTAGATATACAAATTCTATATATTTTAAATTCAGAGGTTATAAACGGTTACTTATTTCGGTGCACGCTACCGTTGCGATATTTCGTTTTAAATTATACGATAGCGTGCACCGTTCTTGAAATGTTTTCACAGCTAGTAAATATGTTCTTAAAATTGCAAACAACAATTTCCTAGGTGGAGTATTACGTACCTTATTTTTATTTTAAATGAACACTTACATTCTAGTTGTAAAATTTAACTGATGCAGCAAACATTCATGCAAAGATATTTAGAAAGATTTAAAGAGATTTTTCTTTACGTATAATTGATATGTTCAAAAGAAACCGGAACTCTATTTTACTTGTATCAGTTGACAAAAATAGAACGTCGGTGGATCAGGGGTTTGAGCACTTGACTTGTAATCAAGAGATCTTGGGTTCGAATCCCGCCATGTACCATTGTGATTTTTGATACATACGTACATAATTTACCGCCGTTCTTACGGTGAAGGAAAATATGAACTTACGAAACGCAGTATTTATCCTAAAATAGATAGTTCTTAACTGTATCTCTAACCCTGAATTTCTTAATCCAAAATAACCATACAACAAGTAATGTATTGCCATCTCTTCTTTATTTTAATGGCACGAAAGATACAATAGGTATTTGTACAAGATAAGTTAGCCATAATACTCACAATTCCAAAGCCGATCGTACCCTCTCCCAGAATTCCCTTTTCTGCCTGTGATGTAGTTTTCTTCTATAATGTGCGTTCGTGAAATTTGCATCAGGCAGGGGATATAACACATCGATTTCTAAGACCAAATTCCATCCTGATGGAGCGTGTGTCATGAACGCTTTTACAACTGATATTGTTAGCTAGAAATAAAACATAACTTAACAGAAACATTCTATTTTTATGTATTTATTTTAAAAGTGTTCAGTGCAAAATATAACCTCCTTGCCTGACAAGAAGTATGAATACAGCCAAAGAGTTTGCATACTGGCCACCAAGACTTTTGCGTAGTTTCTTTTTAAAAAGATATAGGAAAACAATAAGAGAAAGAAACGTATCAGGGCGAGGTGTGATCGATATAGTTCTCAGTTATTTATTGTAAATATATAAAAAAAGTGAAGATGTCATATTTAAAAAAAAGGTTTGTATTTTTGACTGTCGCTGTATTGGCGCTGTCGGTAACAAATTAAATAAAATTAATAAGTACTGGGTGGAATTATCCTCTTTCTGTATTATAAAGGTTAACTAAATACTTTAATAACAATTTTATTCATAGAGAACATTGTTTTCATACCTTGATTATTGCGATTTTGGAATATGTATGTATTTAATAATCTTTGAAACATTTTACACATTGCCAAAACAGCTTTAAATTCTATACTTTTCCAGACTAAGTATACGATTCCTAGTTTTTACACATATTCGTTAACACATACGAAAATACAAATCTTTTCTCTTTATAGTACTAAAGTATACTTACAACAACATCGCTTCCATCAGGGAACGTTAAATGCCTTCGTTTTCTTATCGAACCTAAGTGAGTCTTAACATTAGGGCATTGATCTGTATTATTCACTTCACAATCAATAAAAACTATTAAAAAAACTAAAATTAAGAATCGGTACATTTTATAACCTAAAAAACTCATAAATCACACGTCAATGATCTTGTAATATATGGATGTTACTCAAATGCTGTCGCGTCTGAGTTGTATAATTTACAAGTTTACGTACGTCACGAACTTACATAGAACTTGTTATTTACAAGGGCTATGTTAAGCTAATGTGCTATACGACTGAATATTCGTTTGAAAAAAAGCAACAATACTAAATTCAAAATAGATAAGAGAATAACAATGAAGATACATTGTTGCTTAAAACGTTAGGGAATAAAACTAAAGTAGTAAACTGCAACTGTAATAAGAAGTTAATTTTTTAATAATAACTAATGAAAAGTAAAATGGTTAATCAAAGATTTAATTATGTGTTGTTTTTTCTACGAGTAATTAAAATATTCTTAAATCTTGTTTTGTTCATGATTTAGTTCAAGTGATTTAAATTACTTTAAGCCAAAGAATTTATATACTTTTAAATATATTTACATAATGATAGTAGTTATATATAAAATGTTAGATACACTTATATCGAGTAACGACTCGATAATCAATATAATTGTTAGATTCAATATTGTTTCAAATATTAACGAAAAAAGTAAAGAAAATCATTTAATAAGTAAACTTTGCTTTCAACTGAAATGTGGATAAGGTTTTTTTATGCGAATTTAATTTTTATTTTAGTTTTTTATTTTAGTTTATTCACGCTAAAACTACAAGGCCGATTTGAAAAATTCTTTCACCATTAAAAAGCTACGTTTTCTGTGAGTAATATAGGCTATGTTTCTTATTATTTTTAATTTCACGTCGCGAGCAACAGCTAACTAAATAATAAATCTAAGTGCGTGTTTAAATTAATTTTATTTAAAAAAAAATCATAACATTTGCAAATCAAATCACGTACATTAATAAAATGCGATTATTCGATGTCTGATTGTCCAATTACAATGGGAAATTCATGTTCATACAAAATAATTTATATAAAAGATTGTTTGAAAATAAACTTTACGATGTTATACTTTAAAGACGGGACTGCTAAAGAAATTCCACGGAGGTGTGAAACGTGACAGAGTTAATGAGGAGAGGCGGCAGCCGCTCTAATACGTTGATCAAACATCCCGGGTCAATGAACAACGCTGACTGTAACACACGACAGGGATTTATATGGACTGTAACTTACATTTTTAACTTAAAAAGAGAAGATTCTTATTTGTTTTCTATATGTTTATAGCATTTTGCAATCAAATACTTTAGTAATATATCCGTCTGCGTGGAATAATAGAATTCGAGTAGCTAATGTGCACTTCCAGACTATCCTCTACATCTGTGCTCTCTAAATTTCATCGAGATCTACTCAGTAGTTTAGCCGGTAAACTCCAAAATCCATTTATCCACATAAACTTTCGCATTTACAATATTTAAGATGTACAATTATTATTTGTCTAATCTTTCTAATATTATAAATGCGATAGTTTAGATGGATGAATGGATGGACGTTTGTTAGAGTTTTTACCCTAAACGGCTGAAGGGATCTCGATGAAATTTGGCATAGATGTAGAGGATAGTCTGGAAGAAAAGATAGGCTACTTGCTTTTGTTTTGCTTTAATTCCGAGCGGACGAAGTCGCGGGTGAAAGTTGATTTTTGCAATAATTCTAATAGAAAATGTGTGACTATTATGTTACCAATTGTCCTTCATAAAAATTTCTACAAAAGTTTTACATTGCATTTATTGAGCAAATATTGAAGCTATGTTTTTCTTATAAACGGAATCCATTCTCTGTCTGGAAATCTTATCTAACCAAAGAGATTCAAATATATAGAGGAGGCATATTTTACACGTCACTTGAAACATTTTTCACATAACCTCAATAACTGTCTAGGTCCTCATAGCCGTTTCGCCCGCGACACCGTCCGCGTGGAATTAAAAAAAAACAAAAGTGAGTAGCCTATATTTTCTTCCAGACTATCCTCTACATCTGTACCAAATTTCACCGATATCCATGTAGCCGTTTAGGCTACAAACTCTAACAAACGTCCATCCATCCATCCATCCATCTAAGCTTTCACATTTATAACATTAGTTAGATTTAAATGTTTATGTTTCATTTTATAATGCCGTTTAGTTTTTTCATAACAAAAGATGGAGCTTATTATAATTTTGTAAAATGTTTTATTATATGTCGATACAACACGAGGTGGCACTAAACTTGACAACTTTTATTACCTTTCAGAGAAAGTACCGTGAAAGAAATTTGTAGTGTAAGAAATTTGTTCACTGCCTCATCTATACATTTTTAATGTCTTTGTTCTAACTTTTAAAACTGCCCTGTAATTTGCTTTTCAAACATTTTTCCTTACCTGCTTTGATGCAAATCAGTAATTAAATTCTGTTCAACATTATTTATCTGTTGGAATAACAATGAAATTTTTCTCGCAAATTGCTCGCGAATAGTTCGAAATTCTTCACAAAAGAAATTACGTAAAGAATTACATTTCTTAACTGTCTACTAATTTTAAAGAATTATTGATTTTGATCTTAAGTAAGTACTGGTAATACAGGGCAAGGTGGAGGCCACCAGACTTAGGGGAAGATCACCCATAGGTGACTGACCAGATAAGAACGGCTATGGAGGTACCCTTGCATCAATGTGCGAAAAAAGCAACGTACATGGAGGCGGCGGGTTGTGAAGCGGGTCACTGATACCTGATACGTGATAACTACGACGAGTCTGTAAAGACTCAAGCGACAAAGAAGAAGAAGTACTCCTTACTAATATTATAATTGCTAAAGTTTGCATTGTATTTCAATGATTGGCACACAGTCTTGAAGAACACATAGGCTACTTATTACGTTTTTTTTTTTTTAATTCTGTGCGGAAAAAAATTGTTTTTTAATATTTTTATTGTGAGCCAAAACCCTAGAATAAATGAAGGTTTTATATAATAAAAAGTTTAGGATTTGTAAGTAAATGTGTTAAAATAAAATACCAATGGAATAAGAAGTCTTTTGTATTTTGAAATTTATCTTTTATTCTTTCATACAGTTATTTTTGAACATCACTTTTTATAAAGTCTATCACACTTTGTATATTTTTTAGTACAATCGTCATTACTTAGATGCGCTTCGTCATATTCCTTGTGATACTCGTCGTCGAACTTTTGACCTCGTGGTAACCTGCAAAAAAAACTAATGTTAACGTTCATTTCCACTGATTGTACAAATAATAAGACCCTTTGTACAAAAGATGATGTTTTTCGAATCTGACGTTTTTAGATGCTAATAGTCGGTTTCCCAGCTACATTTAACAATTCGTTAGTGTTTTTGGTTCGATAACTTCATGAAATGCGTTTACGAACTACATAAGTATAGTTTTACTCAGATGAAACATAGGTCAACCTTAGCTAATAAATCACTTGTTAAATCTATACTACTATAATAAAGCGTAAACACACACTTCTTTGTTGCCTAAGATGTCAGGAATTACAGCTTATTTTTGAATAATTCTTTTCTTAATAAAAAGCCCTACACTTGCGTCACGCTTTAGGCTATATATTTTAACGCCATTAAACTTTGGGGGTAAATATTTTAGATAAAAACCCTAATGTGGGAAAAAGACCATAAGTTGCTGCCAACGTCAAGGAAGCAAGGTTGACATCATGTCAGGTCATTTTGACATTTGCAATTGATAATTTGACAAATGTAAACAATAAAATAAAATTTTCATAATTCCATGCGGATGAAGCCGCACGGGAACAGCTAGTATAAAATAAATGGAAACTTCAGAAACCGAACATAAGTGACATTCGTACACGGACATGCGTCGACATTTCTGTCATCGCTAAAGCCAGTCGCTCGCAACTTGTTTTTCAAAATCGTCGTAAGAGGTCGCTTCAATTTTCAAGATGGAGCAAATCCATACAACATGTAGTCGCCTGTACTGACCTAATACACAACTCGCGCCGACGATTCAATATTAATTTTGAAGATTTATGTTGCCTTGAGTATGAAGGAGCTAAGACCCTTCTACGTATCATTTATATTAGTATAGAGTAAGATAAAAATGGTATTCATTTTTTTACATTGGTTAAACATTTTATATTTATTTAATATTCAAGTTCTTGGGACAAAAAAGATACAAGCGTTATCTAAAATAAAAATTGAGCTTTTGACAATAATTACATACAATAATAATAAAAACTAAAACCAAATATAGAAAACTGAAATTACATTTTTACGATGGAGACGTTTCGAATATTGTGACCCAAAACAAAACCGGCATGTTAATATCGACTCAATTTTCTATGGCATAAGGTTTTTAATCGATAATTAGATACAAAATACAAACGAACAATATGAAAACACTACTAGTAAAAACACTCACGTAAGCGTAGCCCTCATGATTTCTTCTAGAAACGTGCCTTGTTCATTTTTACCTCGGCCTGTCTCGCAAAGCATGCGTAGTACACATTCCCGACCGCGCCAACCTAATCTGTAAATTGAAAAATAGTCTTTATGCTGAAGACAATAGAAGTTAAAAACACTGAACTCAATACTTTATCTTTTGAACTTTACAGGACTTATGAAAATTGAAAGACAAAATAGTTCCCATGTCTTCATATTTGTTGTCAAGTTGACGTATCGAGCATCAATTTCAGAGATGTCATTAAAAGCGCGTGCACACCTTTGACTAAATTATTGGACAACAGTTTAGTTGCGCATTCACGAAGTCAATTTACTACTGGATTTTTAGTTGATCAACTAAACAGTTGAATTTGCAGCGAAACAATGGACAGTCGTACAGCAGTTGTGCGATAGTTTATCATCAAAGGTGTGCGCCCGCTCTAACTTAAACAAAAGATGTCAGTTTGTCTCAGTCTTGTGTTCCGGACTAGGTATAAATGATAAATCTAAAATTAAAGCATAATATAGCAAGCAACTTTAAAAGACTATAAAAAAAATTAATTACCCTTCGAGAAATTTTTCAAATTTCGCATAAAAGCTTTTTCTACTCTCTCTGTGAAATGAAATGCTATCTTCGTCTAAGTTTCTTAAGATGTTGTTACCCTTTTGAGCATCATGTAGTGTTTTAATCACAACTGAGAAATTCCTTCCATTGTTAGCTTCTTCTATACTGCGTTTAGCGAACGCTGGATTTACAATTAATCGTCTGGAATATAATAAAAAATCCATGATAGAGACGTTACAGCAGGTTTCCAATTCATATAATATTTAGTAGGGAAAGTTGGTAATGGTAATTAAATAGCCAATTTTCTTAAACTAAGACACAATTTAGGTTAAACCATAAATAGTAATAAAAATAACTACGTAACGATTAATGAATTGTTAAGAAAGACCAGCTTTTAGTGTAAACAAAAGAAGTGATCTAAAAAATTTGATGATGGTGATGTTTGAATAGAACTGATAAATTAAACTGAATCGAATCATATGAATGTTGTAATCATATCAAAATGTTGGATGTTTATGACTATGTATCTTCAAAACGACTTGAAGAATCTCGATAACATTTGACACAGATGTAGAACATAGTCTAGAAGAAGACATAGGCTAACTAGCCTTTGTAAGTACAAAGACACAATTTTTTTATCATCAGTACAAAACCTGTGATTTCACTTACTTCTTGTAAGGCATTTTCGAAATTACTTTTCCATCTTCATCCAAATAATATATAGTTTTAGATGCATCATTTCTTCTGTGAGATTCGTAGAGTTTCTCATGATCTTTAAAGAAGTAGAACAATTTGGGATCCGTTGGTAATTGCCAGGCTAAAGCTGCGGTATTACCGAACCAAACTATATCACCTACTTGAAGATATCCTTGATTTTGTGCGCAGAATACTGAAAGAAAAGTTATTTCCATTAGGATTAAAATGGAATTCATATTGAATTGACGCCGAACCTAACAGTGCTAGAGACCGCTTTAGTAGCTTTGCACGAATGAACTCGTCCGGTGCAAGACCACGACCACACAGATGGGTAATGACTGAGCATGCTAGAGGCCTAAATTTATTCCCCTTTCCACCCTTTCCGTACAAGGAAAAAGAGGTAAATTGGGTCATCATGGGATGCACAGGTAAGACAAATATTGCCTTTTTGAGTGTCCCCTCTGTTTATTAGAAGTAGGCACCGTATCTGCAAATATGAGCAGCGGTCGCTTCGCTATTTTTAAATTTCCAATTCCGTACGTAAAATGTTACATTAAAATATTAATCAAGACATTTTTGATACTTCAATTATTTCAAATGTAATATTCTCTACTGCAATATGTTTAAATTTTATGCTATTTATTACTTTCCAAAAACTTGGCAAAGATATCTACGAAGTTTGTTTTAATTCATTGCTTATTGTAATCTGGCTCTACCAGGGGAATAACTTTTAATAGTCCAAATTGATTTTGTTTTCTGTTAACTTATTGAATTTTATCATCTCAATGATTACGACATTTTTATTGTCTTATTTTGTATATCACATTGTCAAGAATCTTTAAAACATAACTTATAGGATATGAATAAATAATGTTAATTACCATTTCATGATAGAATGTGGATATAGTATGTGGCGAGCAAACCGCTGACCTCTGCCTATCGTCTGTGAGCTTAGTCAACACATTCAAAATTCTTTTCCTAACTTTATTTAACAGTAGGACAATGTCACTTGATTTAACTGTCTTAAGTTATAAATTAAATTAAAATAATTCTCCTAAATGTAATTGAAATTATTTCATAATAATGTTTTTACCTACCCAACTGAAAAGAGCTTCCATCTGGAAATACAATGAATCTCTTTCTGCGTGAAAGGACTTTTGATGCGTCCTTTACATCTTTGTTTTCTTGATAAGCGTCTGAAATAACTCCTAACAGCAATAGAATAATAAATTTTATAACTGTCAATTCCATTATTACCAATGCCTTTTACGATTGTCTTCCGTAATCACTTTACACTTCTTTAAATATGATAAGAAATTGAGACGATAGAGTGTCGAATTTTATAGTGACAAAACCACAAGGACGGCTAAACAAAAGCGATCCGATCGACTTATTTACTTTTCCAAAGACAACAGTCGAACTGAGCCAAACAACAACTGCTACACTCTTTGGCACGTCGACGTTTATCAAATTTAGAGAACAATACAAATAGGTAGCTTGTTTACTTTCAATTAAGGTCTTAGAGTACAGTTGTATTGAAAAGTGTTACAGTTTTACTATTTGACATTTTTTTCTAAATGTTGCAAATTTTAACTGCAGTCGGCATTCTTTCGAAATATATAACTTTATTTAAAGTTGGATTTTTGCTTGCTTTAGGCCTAGTTCGCGTCCCCTTCTATTTCTCATCCTTTTCGTATAAGGAAAACTGAATTTACAAATGTAGAGAAGAGTAGGAAAGGGAAATATCGTCTATCTGTGCACCTAATTCTATGTTGATAAAAGGTGGGCAGTTCATCAGAAATTGCTGCTTAGTCGGTCTATGGGTAATTTACTGGTCGTATGCTTGTTCGCCACCTTCGAATAAAAAAATAATAATACGCTTTGTGCTTTGAAATAAATTTTACTTTCATTTTCAATTTCTAATGTTATTTTATTTAACCATAAGCACGTAAGTGAGTGAACTGAACCAGAAACCTTCAGAATAATAGATGAAATGCAGATGCATTACTAACCTTTGAGAGTAATTTTTGCTTGAACGATTCTAAGGCATCTTGGGATCACAACTAAGATTGATTCAGACTACCTAAAGCAACAAGATCTGGATACCTAAAGGATGTATGTATCAAGTCAAAGGCAAAAGATTCCAAATTCTAGACCTATTCCCATGATATGCCGTTAAAGGTACTAGAGTACCCTCCATCGAGTATTCTTTTTCGAAAGATATCCCGGAACTCGATGCTTTAAATCAACCAAGAATAAAATTAACTATTACATAGTGATATAGTGTGTATAATTCTTTGATTAAAAAGCTACATTATCAGTCGCATATGGAAACGGATCTTAAACGCTTCTCAGAAGAAAAAAAAGCTCTCGCTTTAGAAAAAGCGAAATTTTAATTCAACCTATTAATATATTTTGAATATATCTTGTCGTTTAAGACACTGTTACGTATTTAAATGTAGTTTCAGTTTGACCGTGAATGATTTTGTTTTTGTATGATTATGAAAATTATTTAATATGAAAATGTTGATCTAATCGGTTCTGAGATATTTTACAAGCTTATTCAAATTTTATAGGTTTTGAATTATTCTCCTAGCGATGTTTTCTTTCTGTTTCAGTTTGATAATTTTGTTATCGACTATACTGGACTAGAATGTTCTAAACAGACCTTAAAAGTGTTGCAAAAAACTAAGTAAATAGGACAAACATATTTATGCCATCGAACAGTATTTTCCTCAACATTTAACATTTTTTAGCTGGAATTTTTGAGTTTGACTTAATTGTAAGTATGAAAAATTTGAAATGGGCTTAATAATTACAATAAATCTTTTCGTAATTTGTGAGAGAATTACGAAATTACTGACATTACCGCATTAATTTCAAAAGCGAAGTTTAATGCTTGAGACGTGCTTAAAATGACATTTTTGATTGTTCGAATTTTCAACGCCATTGTCGTTTTCAAATATAAATTGGAAATTAAGAAAATAATACAATAAATATTAATAAAAAACTTTATTTTGGGATATTAAAATTATCGAAAACCTTAGAAATTTTCACATCCTGGGTACATTTTTGAACAGTCGTCTATTTTTGAATGAGCTTTGTCGTATTCTTTGTGTTCATCGTAATCAAATTCAGTCCCTTTAGGTAACCTGGAATAACATTTAACTATTATAAATTCAAAATTATACATGGATGGATGTTTGTTAAAGTTTGTAGCCGAAACTGCTGAACGTATATTCATGAAATTTGACATCTTGACTGCAGCAGTAAATACCGAAGAAGGTAAATCATACTTACGTGAACAGCACTCTAAACAGTTCCTGTAGGAATGACCCTTGACTTGAATTCTGTGCGGACTCACACAGCTTATAGAGAACGCATTGTTTACCATTTCGACCCAAACTGAAATATAAAAATAGCAAAATTTTAATATTATTTACTCTATGGAATTAATCAGAAGATTAAACTCGATAATAATTATTGATATAATTTATTAATAAGCATTTGCAAAATAATCATACTAATATTATAAAAGCCAAAGTTTAGATGGTTGGAAGGATGTTTGTATCTGAATTTTCAAACGTCAATAGCCTAATGGTTTGGGGTACGGACTACCGATCTTACGGTCGAGGGTTCAAATCCCGCTATTCGACTATTGTCGTGAACCATACCCTAGCACAAGCCTAGAGCTTAGTTGGAATGGTTAAAGGAAATGTTAGTAAATTAACAAAAATCTACTAATATTAAAAAAAAATCTCCAAAACGGTCGACGATGAAATTTTACAGACATGTAGAACATAATCTGGAAGAACAAATAAACTTACTGAGTTCTTTTTTTAATTCTATTATGTATAAAGATATTGTATTAAAAGAAATTGTATTTGTTGTATTAAATTTGTATTAAAAGAAATTTTGTAACTTTATAAATAAATCTTTTTAAATCTAAATCTTTTTTTAAATATGCATTAGTTTAGAATAACGTGAACATACATTCTGAATTCATTAAACAACCGCAAAATGTCACCGTCCATAATCAAGGTGGATTATAAGAAATCTCTTAAGTTGCGATTCAACTTAGTCAAGTCGTTTGTCACTACTAATTGCAACTAATGAACGTTTTACGTAATTGAATACATCTTACAACTTAAACCTTTACAATTTAACACCCATTAGATATTGTGTTATTGCGAAACGAATTTAATTAGTAATATTTTTTGGGAATAGGTTTTATTCGAGGAAATTATCTTTCGTACTGTCAAATAGCACTGTAAAGGTTACTTTTGATTTTGTTTTTAAAATATCCGAAGAAGTAGTTTTGTGTATATAAGTTGGTTAGTCATTATCTCCCCTGCCTTATCTTACTCCCGTAGGCCGACTCTACGGGAGTAGCACCAAGTTAGTTGGTTAGTAATAGTATTATATAATTTATAGTAGTAGTCAAGGAGAAGTAGTAGGGTATACTAAGTATTACAAAACTCTCAAATAAAATGTGCAAATTATCGTCGATTCTTTTCTTCGGAATCGGTATGATTTTTTTTTTAATTAAAACTACTTTCGTTTCATTTTACTTAACATGATTTAACAATCTTACCAAATAACTTACGTAGTCATTAATTTTTCTATTTTCTCAAACAACTCCACTCGACTTTTTCTATGGAAATCAACGCTGTCTTTATCCAAATGTTCTTTGTTGAGAAATTCCCTCTGCGCCTGTTTCTCGTGCATTTTCATTCGGTCTATTTTGATTTTCAATTTCTCTCTGAACGTTATTTTGTCGTCGACGCTCCTTTTCGCGAACGCCGGGTTCACTATCAATGGCCTGTCAAATATATCATAGTTACAATTGTTTTTCAATCAGATTTTATGTACCTATATTTTTGGGATGCGAGATTGCAGAAGATATCAATATTTTAATACCCTCTCTACAGTTTGTGCTTTCTATCGCAGGTTATGAATTGAGTTTTAATCAATCCAAACATAACTATAGATCTAAAAGTATAAATCTAATAGACAATATGAGCAGCCATATTTAGTGATTTTCTTTCCCATAGTCTGAGTAAGGTAAAAGTAGGAGGGATGATCTTGGTTTGACTGGCAGCGATGAAAATGAGTATAACTTTTTTATACCCATAAGAATCTGTCAAAAACATTATATGGTCAATTTTATGATCATATTCCAACTAACTTCTTACTATCATATAAATGCAAAAATTCTTTTTATTTATGGATATTTTCTAGAAACGGCTGAAAAGATAATTTCAGACGCAGACGCAGTTGTGGTCGACAGCCCTAAAGATTAAAAATCGGTACTTACTTCCTAAAGGGTACTTTTGCTAAAACTTTTCCTTTGTCATCTAGATAATATATATTCTTCTGTGTATCGCCTCTTCTTTGCATTTCTTTATCATGTTCTTTGAACATGTGGAAGAATTTGGGATCCGAGGGTAGATTCCAGGCGAGAGCTGCTGTGTTACCGTAAAGGAAGATATCCCCTATTGGTATCAGAGCCATCGTTTGCACGCAAAATACTGGAAACATAAAATAAACTAATTACGATATATCAAAGTAAAATTGGACTTTAAAATCACTTGTATAAAATCATACTCTCATCTCTCTCATTATCATTGCAATAGACAAAGATAGTAATATACCGTAGCAATAGAATTTCACGGTTATACATAAGATAAAATGCCCTAAGGTTTCAACTTCAACAAGTTTCATCATCATCATCATTATCTCCCTTATCCTAATCCCGTAGGGTCGGCGCAACAGGTTTTTGTCCTCCACATAACTCTATCATACGTCATCTCAGTCATCACTCCCTTCTTGATCATGTCACCTTTCACGCAAACCGTCCATCTCTTCGTATGTCTACCTCTACCGGTGTACCCTTCGTGTACCAACGTTCTTCTTGTATGTTAAAGTAAGTTTCATCTTTTTTATTTTGCCTTCGATTATTAAAATAAAGTTATTTCCTCTATCATCCTTTCCTATCCCCCTTCTTATTACTTCGTTATTTGAAACAGAAATCTTCCAACTGTATTATTTACATGTGCAATCCGTAGGGAAGCCTTTCGTTTAGCAGTGGACGACTTTTGGGCTGATGACAATGTCGATGGATACTGATATTAAAGAGGTTATTCTGCATGACATACGTAGTTGGTTTTATCTATCTAAGGCCAGCTGGTTACTTTATATCAATCCTTTAAAAAGAATGAACATTTTTAAAGACAATAAAACTCCTTCAAGAACTACATTTAGTTAAATCGTTTGTAAAGTTTGTAGTATCTTCAATATTTAAGAGAGTTCTCAGAAGATAGCGAAGTTACTCCTACTTCAAAATAACTTACAAAACTGTTGACCAGATTTTCAAGCCCTGTTGTATTTTTTGTTCCGTTTATTAAGCTATCCGTTTAGTGTTATAAATGATTAATTGTATATTGCTTACAGAATTTGTACCGATGAAAAGTTTTGGTAGTCCTTTTCCAAAATTTAAACCGATTTCGAGGAAGTAATATATTTCTAGCATACATAGCTTTTAACAGTGGTAGTGCCCGCTTTAACATCTTAGCACGAATGGGCCGGCACGCCCGGTGTAATACCACGACCACACAGAAGTCTGGTGTGAAATGGAAGCAATTCCGTGTTTCGTCTGATGAGTGTGGTGCCGGAGGCCTAATTTAAGTCCCTTTCTCTTTACCACCCTTTTCTTATAAGGTGAGGATAGGAAGGGGAAGGGGATTTGACGGTGGAGGAGATGCATAGGAAGAGACAATATCCTCTTTATGTGTCTCCTCCTCTGTCGGATAAGGGTAGGCAACGCATCTGCGATCGCAGATGTCTATGGGCAGCGGTCGCTTCGCCATTTTGGCGGCTTCAGGTGGCCGCTTGCTCGTTTGCCATCTTATGTTATAAAAAAAAAAAAAAAACTACTTCCAAATACCACTGTTATCTGCTGCTAATGTACTGGCAGAACTGAAAAGCTCTGAGGTCCTGGTTTTTCTTTCTTTTGCTTTAATCTTATTTTGAAATTGGCATTTAATTCTTTTTCAAAGCTTGCATATTAAGAATTTAATTCGCTCTATTTGATGAATGCCTTAATTTCAATAGTCATAAACTAATTAACTCACCTAATTGAAACGAGCTGCCGTCGGGGAACACAATGAACCTCTTAGTTCTAGACAGAAGCCGGGAACGTGTTTTATTTCCCTCTGAACTCGCCACACCACAGTTTTCATTATCGCAAAATTCAGTTACACTCAGCGCTATACCAAATAACGCAGCTATAACGAATAATCTGCAATAACTAGTTATGTCCATGCTTTAATTTTATAATCTGTATTATATGTAAAGTAAACTTCGTCGAATGACGCAAATGAGTGCGAATTCTATATTCAAATATTCTTCTTTTTTTCGAAAATCGAGTTATAAGTTGACAGTCGCAAAACGCAAGTTGAACTGTCCCGTTCTTCAAACGTTTTCAACGCAAATGTGTATAAATGAACGAGCAATTAACATGTTTTGTGTCAACGATTTTACAGTTATTTTAGTTCTGAATTGGTTTCGAAAAAACAAAAAAGGTAATGTCAAAAAAATCGTGTCGATCAAATTTAGATCGTGCCATAAAAAAGAAATCAAAGATTCAACTCGTTGAAGGAAATAACGGTTTCAACCGTCGAACTACATTCAACACTATGCCTGTAAAATAAATTCAAAAAATTTAATATCTCTCAATTTACAAACATAAACAATATTTGACAAAATTACGCAAACTCTGTTTAATTATTTATTCGGTTTTATCAATCACTGTAATTTGAAAATAATTTTGCTGTGGTTAAAAATAATTAACATAAAATTGGTATAGCGATTTCGTCAACAATATGAGGTAATACATACATTATAATCCATACGAAGAGTTACAAATTAAAACAAATTTAAAACTCTCAAACAATTTATTTCATTCGAATACTACAAAGAAAAAAGTAATCATTGTAATTTGAACCATAACACATCGAATTAAAACTTATTTTAAGGATTCAAAACAATTTTCTGATACATTCAAAAACAAGTTTAATTCAAGAGATAAATTAATATTAAGTAAATTAAATCTATTTAATAATTAAAAGTAGGTGAATCAATGTTGGCTAAACGTTCGTTGCAATGTGGATATAATTTGTCGCAAGACTCCGTCGACTTCGACGCCATATCGTATTCTTCTAAATATTCGTCCGTGTTATTTGACTGAGGCAACCTGGGGATATAATCTGTGCATTTATGTCAAACATACGACGCTTTGCAGTGCGATATTCACACAAAAGCGTTTCGTAATTGCCCCAGATAATCTTAGGTGGGGCATTCGCGTGAACTGGGCTACTGCACCCATTGCTCTGTGACTTGATTATGACTCAAATATACGTTATACACTTAGTTTAAACACGTATACCGAAAAATTTGTATTATTTAGGAAATAAAAAATCAATCTACGCATAGCATCTAAAATAAAATGAATTAATTATTTAGACAATTTATTAACAGAATTTAAATTAGACTTCATTTTATTTCCTTTTTGCTATTCTATAAAATAACCAAAGCATCTAACAAAAGTATGTAAAGTCTTTAATATTCTTGCAGAGGCCTAAATATTTCGGGCATAAAATACGAACGACTTGTTTACTCCTTTCTACCATAAAAAAGTACCATTAAAATACTTTAAATATTTATAATAAATTTGCACTGTGATTGTGCACAATTTATTAAAACTTTTGTATAATCCTCATTATGGAGAATTGATTATAATGATTAGTAAATCTAAGACATCTCTAGAACCTATTGAATCTTAAAGAAGTAACAACAAAGAAAGTAAAGAAACATCGCAATACGTACGTAAAAACAGCTCTTAATATTTCTTGCAAGAAGTCTCCCTGGGGATGGTTTCGTGACTGCGCGACTAGACACAATGTTTTCAATAAACATTGCGTTCCGTCTCCACCGAAGCTAAAAGAACGAAGAAAATATTTGCTATCGACAAGTTCAATATTTTTGCAAATAATTATACTGTGCAACAATGTCAAGCAGTTGTTGCTATGTGAACTCCTCTACATTACAATGGTATAAAACATATGTGACTAGTAATTTAGTTATGAGTGTGGAGGTACAATATACAATAGACGGTAGACCTAGAAAGAAATGGATGGTTATGATCAAAGAATGATGACTGAGATGATGGATTATAGAGTTTTGTGGATAAAAATCTATTTCAGCAACCCTAAGGGAGTGTAAAAAGTATAAGGAGAATCTGATGACGGTGTTTAATGATTTTAATGTTTAATTATAAGAAGCCGCAAAAATATCAGGTGATGAACCCGAATTGATTGACCTCTCGTACTTTGAAATCAATCAACAAATTATATGCAATAGCAACCAATGTGTTCTTTTTTTTTAAATAAATTTGAATAAAGAATTATATCGTACCCTTGTAACATTGTCTCTATTTTCTGGTAGAGTGCAGCACGTCCGCTTCTGTGAAATTCGATACTGGCCGTCTCCATCTGTTCGCTTTTCAAAAACTCGCGTTCACGTTGTGAAGCGTGCATTTCCCTCCTGTCTATTTTGAATACGTTTGCTCCGTTTTGATGCGAATTCGAGTCCACGCTTCGCTTCGCAAACGCCGGATTCACTATGGGCCTCCTGTAAGTTTACCGTACGACCGTGTAGCGTGTTTTAAATCCTCTTACTTTAAAGTGTATTGAAATGTATTCGTTCAGTAATGTTATCTGTTATCTCAATTTGATTCCAAAAGTAAAAATCAGTAGTTGTAATGATTTTGTTTATTTTAACGTAACATCTGTGGAAACGTAACGTCTTTTCTGTAACGTAATGTAAGTATTCGAAAATAATAAAAAAAACATGCATGTACAAAAACGTAACAGCAAAAACTCGACATCGAGTTATAACTCTAAAGCAACGCCATCTGTTGCCATAAAAACTATAGCCTTTTGTTCAACCGCTTACCTTTTATACGGAGCCTTATGCACGACTTTTCCATCATAGTCGGTGAAGTATATAGTTTTAGAGTCCATTCTTCTATGAAGTGGATCAGCTCTATGGTTGAAAGGTGAGTATGGATCTTGAGGCAGCTCGAATGCTAATGCAGCGGTGTTACCAAACAGGAATATGTCCCCGATTGTAGTCAACATTGGATAAGTTACACAGAATACTAAAAAGAAAGAGAGAAATTAGATTACCTTAGAAAAAACACTTTTATGCTCTGTGCTGGCCAAATATGATTGATATCGAAAGGTGAATATAGTCAATTCAGTGTTTATCACAGATTAAATTTAGTAATTAGAAGTACCAATATTGTAAAAATAAAGCTGGAGAAGTTTCTTCACTTCACCAATTATTAGGATATTTGAAATGGTCATTTTTTAAAGATTTGTTTTAAGTTCTAGTGTATTAAATAAGTAATTGTCGCATAAGTTATTTTAAGTTAAAAAGTATTGTATATTTGCTTACCAACTTGAAAAGAGCTTCCTTCGGGAAACACGATAAATCGTTTCCTTCTTGACAACACTGTAGACTCATTTCTTTCAAAATCACTCGTTTTGTTTACCCACTCATCTGCGTACACGAATACAAAAAATAATACAAACAGAAAATTAAACTTTTGTATCATATTTGTAAAATATAAAAAATAATATGTGATTTTTTTTCACTGTAACTTTCTCAAGTTAACTTTATGCATACGTATATCTGTAGTACTAAGATTAAAAATACACTAAGCTATGTATCGATTATCCGCGTGCTGCATTTTTGATAAGTTAATCACGACTCTCAAACATATCTCATTTACCGTTAGCCTAATGATACAGCATGATTCGAAATTCCTATCTTTTAAAAATTCAAATAGTGACGTTGGCAAATTCTTTTTATTTTTATTAGACATTTAGAAGATAAGAAAATTATATCTAGAATATCAGATATAATTTACTTATCGTGTTTTATCGAATTGTATTCACACTATTATAAATATACGAGAAAGTTTAAATAAACTAAGGTCATTAAAACCCTTTAATTCAAGAAATAATTACAACTGAATAAAATTCGTAGCCTTGCCCCTTCGTAGCTTTGGTTATACGTAGCTTTAGGTATTCGTAGTTTTGTTGTAGTATTATCGTAGATTTTATAATTCTACAACATCCTGTATATTGACACCCTGATACAGTTTTAAACCAGTTTAAGTAAAGTTACATTAATCCTGATAAATAGATATTAAACAAAACCTACATAAAGTCACCGTTACTTTGTTTTACTTTTCAAGTTTGTCTTTCTCTTGAAGTGTTTCATGTAACCAAATAATCTTCCGACAAAATAAGATTTACATGTTTTTGCTTATAAACGTTTTCTTAGTATCACTTTTATAAAATCATCCCAATTAAATTATTAAAAACAGTTTTTCAATTTTTGTGTTACTCAAAAATTACAGGCAAGTATGTTATTGTTACGCTTTTGTTTATGTCTTCGTCCACGTTGAATAAAGAAATACAGTAAGTAGCCTATATATTCTTTCAGACTATGTACTACATCTGTGCCAAATTTCACCGAGATTGGTTAAGCCGTTTTTGAAATATGTAGCAACAAATCTATCAACCCAATCTTTGTCATCTATACTTCTATACTATTATAATAAAGCGTAAATACACACTTCTTTGTTGCCTAAGATGTCAGCAATCACAGCATATTTTTGAATAAACCTTTTTTATAAAAAGATCCACACTTATAATATATAACTATATAATATTAGCATTTGTCTATAGTATTATAATAAAGCGAAAACACACACTTCTTTGTTGCCAAAGATGTCAGCAATCACTATTAATTAAATTAAAAGCCCTCCACGTCACGCTTTAGGCTATATATTTTCATGCCATTAAACTTAGAGGGTAAATGTTTTGGATAAAAGCCCTAATGTGGGAAAGAGACCATGAGTTGGTTGCAAGATTGCCATGTTTTGTCATCATGTCATGTCATTTTGACATTTGCAATTGATAATTTGACATATGTAAATAATAAAATTTTCATAATTTTATGCGGATGAAGTCGCACGGGAACAGCTAGTTTAACATATTAGTATAGAATTAGTAGTTATAGTACCTACGTATATATACGTAAAAAAATACACTAATCATTGTTTTAATGTTGTCAATTTCTTTGACAACGTAATTTAATTCAAAAATCCATAATAGTCATAATAAGCTTGTGTACATTCATTTCCAAAATTGTTTGGACATCTACCTGACGTTTAACTCGAAACCACAAAGAAGCGCCCATGCACTCGGTCAAAGCAGTTTAGTACACATCTGCTTTTCAGTTAGTCACTTCTAGTTTTTCCATTATTTTACACAAGACGAAACAAGCAGACGATGTTACAGATCCGGTTCGAAGACATATCGTTTTCTCGAGTCATATGACCATATAAATTTACCATGTTTATTTAAGGTCAGTGAAGAATTATCGCTTATTTGTTACAAATGTTTTTACTCTGGTAAAGGTAACGTTTTCTTATTAGGAGAAGAAAGGTCGACAGATAAACAACTCAAACCATTCAAAGTGCAAGTGGAAGAATTATATTGGAATTAAAGTAATATCTCCTATTGAATTGGAATTACGAAGAAATTTCAAGAAAATTGAATGTATGCAGTAAAATGCAAATAGAAATCAAACGAAGACGATTTTGACAAAATAAATGCTAGTGAATAAAATTTTATAAGATAATGAACAGAATATGCCAGATAATATTTGTATGTTACGCTTGTTTGGTGTTGTTTGTGACTTTTGACTACAGCGAAGCCAATAATGAAGGGAAACAACCAAATCATAGGTACAAACGATACCTGAGATTCAGAAATATATCAAGATTTTTTGTAAGTATTTAAACTTTTAAAGTAATGCATGAAATATTATAAGTAAAATCTAAGTAAAGCAATACATTGATACCTATTATGATGTTTCAAATAACAAAAGACTACAAAATTGTGCAATATTTGTAAGTTAGCCAATTTCTTGTTTGTTCTTCTATTTCATTAACCGACTTCCCAAAAGAAGGAGGTACTCAATTCGTCTGTATGTTTTTTTTATGTGTGTTACGGCATAACTTCGCCACTATTGGACCGATTTTGATAATTCTTTTTTTATCCGAAAGGTAATGCTTGCAGGTGGGTCCCATCTTTTTGATTGATTTTTGGAGTCAAAGACTACGACGTAGTTAAATAGTTTAGCTCAAAACCGCGCGACGAAATTTAGGGTCATTTTTGCTTTCTTTGCCTATACTTTTACAATTTTAATGATTATTGTCTTTGTATTTTTAAAAACTTTTTACAGATTCGTTTTAATTTCAAAGCTAATATGGTACCTTGGAATCAAATATTTGCACAAGCACTGGGATTTAGAATGAACTGGGATGATCCACCAGATTCCTTTCATCCGTACCATCATCTGCATAGACGAACTGCTTTCTCCCACTTGGAGACATTATTAGACAGGTAACATTTTAAAATTATTAACAACTTTGAAACAAACCCGCTTTTGACAAAATATCACACTACAGTTGTGCGATTGTCGATTGTTTCGTAGCCCATTCAACTGTTTAGTTGCACAACTTAAAAATTTAGTAGTGTGCGCACATAATAAGCTAATAGGAATCAAAGCGAGACTGAACAGTTGTGCGATAGTTTAGTTTCAGGTGTGCACAGGCTCTTAGAGTGAGACAATCTGCAGGATATTAGCTGCTACATAAATGAAAATTTCTAAAATACAGAATACATGAATTAAAAGTATTTTCGTATTGCGTTTGATGACTTTATAAGCGAATGGGAAATTCTAATCTACTTAATATATTAAAGGTGGCAAACTAGCAAGCGGCCATCTTGATTTACCGAAATATCAACAGCTAGTCATTGGCATTTGCAGACGTATTGCGTACCTCCCATCGACGCAAGACGCACAGAAGTAAATGACATCTTCGTACAAATTTCTATAAGGAAAAAATGAGAATTGGAGTGCAATCGGAGTGTTCTTAAACGCTGCAATTCTTACAATATATTATTTTACACACTAACTTTAATTGGAATAGCAGTATTTTTTAAAAAAAATTACGTCTGTTTTTTTAATTTTCCAGATACGTGTATTACATAAAAGCATATAAGTTAAAACTGAAATACCCATTTCTTTTAGGAACGGCCTGGAAGGTTTCCAATGCGTGCGTCGTGCAATTTGTGAGATGGACAGGATTTCGCAACCTAGAGGAATCTATTTGAAGATTTTAAAAATGGTTTTTAGGTAAAAAATTCTTTCTTTAGATCTAAATTTAATATTCTTGTTTAAGTTAATGTCAAGAAAATTGTATTCTTCGTTAATTGGCGAAAATAAAATATGTTTTCTATTCATATTTCAGTTAAATTAAATTTCTATGACTTCCACAATTGAATGCTGTGTTTTTATAAAATGTAAGATTTATCGTACATCTTTGACTAAACTATCGCATAACCATTTAGTCGCTCTGTGATTTTTTAGTTGTGCAACTAAAAAGTTGAATGGACTGCAAAACAAACGACAATCGCACAACAGTTAGAATAAATTTATATGAACTTCAATTATATAACGTTAGCAGTTCTACTCTTCTCAAGTTTACTAAAGTTTTTTCTCCTAATTCCAGAAGACAATCATCAGCTACTGACAAGTGGCACAATAAGACTGAACAAGATTGTACAACATCGATCGCTTCCTGTCCTTTCTCAATGCTGGAAGTGTCAACATATACCGACTATTAATTTATTAATACTTTTATGTCTTAGTTATTCATTTTAGTAATAAAATGTTTTTAAATTTTTAAAACTACATCTCTTAGTTAATTTATAAAATAGGATTTGTGAATTGCCATACTTTAGAACAAACTTTACAGAATTATTATACGGTGTTTGTGAAAGTTTACATGGATGGATGTATGGATATCTGTTAGAGTTTGTAACCCAAACTGCTGAATGGTTCTCGGTTTTTGGCATAGACGTCTGGAAGAACACAGGCCACTTATTTATGTCATTAAATACCACGCGGACGAAGTTGCGATCGAAAGCTTGTTTCAAATATAAAACATAATATCACATAGGATATTGTAAAACTCACGCGTTATCCCTGTTTACATTATAGACCGACCAAATCCCCTACACTTATACAAAGTCTGTGTAAATATCTCACAAAAAATAGTCCGTGCGTGACCCGTTTTAAGTATGAGAGTCACTTTATTTGAAGATACAAGCAGTATACAAACTGTATCTTTTATGAACACGCATTTTACCTATGAGTCGTAAGCATCTCGCATATAAAGTAACCGAGTTTTGTAACATGTATCCAACGTTTACTTAAACAAAAATAAAATAAAATAGAATAAAAACTCTTTATTGGGCAAAAATACATTTTTATAAAATTCCATGGGGTCTCCTGACCTCATTATATCACCTGTATTTTAGGAGGAAGGACCTTCTTTTATCGATTATCATATTAAATTAAGAGTAAGATGCATTACAAGGAAGGATATAATATTATATGTTACAAATTAACTTAGTGTGTTTTTTTGCGTGTGTGCGTATGTATAAATGCGAGTACATACGTGTGAGTGTGAAGTATACGTGTAGGTTAGTGTATACAAAAGGATAGATAGTATGGTATACGTAGAGAGCGTCGGTAGCTCAAGAGTCTAAGAAATTGACTTGTTCGAATTCCATAATGTACCAATGTGATTTTCGGTTTTTCGAATTAATATGTACATAATGTACCCGTCTCGTTATTACGGTTGTTTATTGTGCAACTAAACAGTTGAATTAACTGCGAAACAATTGACAATCGCACAACAGTTGTGGCATAGTTTAGTCTCAGGTAAAGTGACAATTAAGGAAGTGATGACTGAAGTGACCTATGGATAAGTTCTGAGTAAAGAATTCTACAATATAATAAACATTTATTGATAATTTATAATATTAGATTTATTTCACAGGTCATTGCGCGCGTGACGATAATAATCTATGCTAATAATTGAAGTTTATATAATGGCTACTATAGAGGTACCCTTTGTAGTGGCTGTTAAAACATTTCGGTCTTAAGACCTGCTTAAGCAGAGATCTGTTTTCTTCGTTCTACGAATATAGACAACTAACTTTTGCCCGCGACTCCTTCCGTGCGGAATTAAGGAAAAACAAAAGCAAGTAGCCTATGTGTTTTTCCAGACTGTACTCTGTGTGAAATTTCATTCAGATCCGTTCAGCCGTTTAGACTACATACTCTAACAAACATCCATCCATCTAAACTTTCGTATTGATAATATTAGTAAGATAAGATGTGTATATTCTTTGTTGTATGTAAATAAATGAAACAAATATCTCTTTCAAATTATTTTATTCATCCCTTAGCATAGATATCAGTTCCATCACACCTTGACCCTCAGGACAGTTAGTGTAAATAGAAGCACAGTTAAACATCTGCCGACCTGCGACAGCCGCGTCAATGTACGGAGACATCATGTCGTACCATTCAGTATCACCTTCGAATGGAGAGCGCCCGTAATCTGGTCTGAAATTATTTTATAAGTGTCGTTAACTAGTTGTAAAATTATTATAATGAACAAGAATTAGATGTGTGTGTACAAAAATTGACTAAACTATCCCATAACTGTTTAGTCACGCTATAATTCCTCGCTTATATGTACGCACGCTACTCTATTTTTAGTGGTGCAACTAAACAGTTGAATAGACTGCGAAACAATCGACAATCGCATAACAGTTGTGCGATATTTAGTCAAAGGTGTACGACCGCTCTAAAAGTTATCAAATATAATGATTCAAAGTAATATTATTATTAAATGTACAATTTTATGTTCACAAAACAATGTATTCAGTGAAAAGATTACAAAGAATTGAAGTTTTTGAGCAAAAATCTTTTCATCCTGCATTTACGGGATTAAAGTTTGGGCCTGGTTTTATGATGGATGGTAGGAGGCGCCACTGTTCCACTAGAGTGGTGCAATTAGCTATGCTTTCGAAAAAATACGCAACTGGAATTTCACTTCGAGCTTGTTTGAACTCCGCTTATTTCGTTTTTTATTAAAAGTCAAGTTTTATTTAGAATTTTTTTCCTGCTATTCGTTTGACTTCATTCTTCATTTGTCTTTGTTTAATTCAAAAAATAATTTAATTATTTTATAATGGTTAAGTATTTTATAAATTTTCAAAATAATAGCTTTTAGTTTAGCATACAATCGTAAATGTATAGTCGCAAAGGTGTATAAATATCACATAGTTGTTGCCCGCGACTTCTCCAACATGAAATTAAAATATAATAAAAAACATAGCCTATGTTACCCACAGATAAATTACCTTTCTAATGGTGTAAGAATCTTTGAAATCGGCCGAGTAGTTTTTACGTGAATCAAATACATACAAACATCCAAATCATTCCTCTTTATAATACAAACTTTATAATATAATTTTACAAATACGTTTCTCTCAATTCTTTTTTTTTTTACTTCTAATTTTAAATTCGGTATTTTGTTCATAATATTAGTATAGATATATATTAAAGTGTTATAAATATTTGTAAAGAGGATATGATTTCATTCATCCGAAGTGAACGATAGAATAAATAAGCCAATCCCAATTGAATGAACGAAGTATACATACGTCAGTAAAATATGTATAATTTCACCAACAAGACCCTCTTCACCGACTGGATACTGCGCGGCTTCGCAAATTGCTCGCATCACGCAATCAATGCCGTTCATACCCTTCCTGGAAAAAATAATAACAATAAAAGTTGACTTCAGTAACCTTATTTTTACCGAGCGGCTTCAATCTCTTTACATTATAAAAACTCAATTTTAATATTTATATTGCATTCCGTTAAACTGTTATTTGCAAATGACAAGATTCAGTTGCTCAAATAGCACTTAGGGCCTTTGCTATTGACTGGGAATTAAAGTACTATAACTATGGCAATCTTCATTCTTTACTGGTATTGGCTTGTAGTTTAAGTCCCTTTCAAATTGAGTATTTTTTTCCAATTTGCTTGCCCCCTAAGATTAATAGCGTGAAAATATGAACCTAAAGCGTGTCGTAAAGACAAGGATTTTTAACAAAATAAAAATTTCTCCAAAATTATCAACTGTGATAACAAAAAAGTGTGTTTACGCCTTGTTTAGTTATTTTTTAAATTAATGACATTTTTACTTTAAAATCACACATATTGTTTACAAGTAGGTTGCTGTTGAGACATCCTTTTAACTAAATATACTTCTTGTATATTAAAACTGTGGCCATAGGTCAGAATATAGTTAATGTAATATTTTGCATTTTATGTCCTGATATCACCAAATGAAACAGAATTTTTGCAATCAACCTATATTAACAAGCTCACGGCGTACCAGGCCGATTTCGGCCTGACGCGGTATTCAAGCTGGTGTGGACGAAGAAAATTATGTCCCTTTCGCTAGTGCGTAACGATTATCTCATGTGTATACATTACATTATATAAAATGTATACATTATGTTTCCACAATGTTATAGTAAGTTATACTATCCTAGTGGTAGTGGGTCTAGAAAGACCTGCCACGCACTGGCGGAATCACTGGGAGCGCATTATCCCGCCGCTGCACCAGATAAAGATTTCACTTGCCGCAGTTAACGTGTTAATAGGTCATACTGAGCAAAAATGTAGTTATCATTATCTGATCTACGACCACATTTAATATAGATTGATTTATCAAATTGCTGTAACAATAGATTCTTACATTTGTAGCATATCCGCTGCCGCTTTGTAGAATACGAGTCTTTCGTCACTTCTCTCCTTTAGTTCCAGATCCCGCTGTTCTCTAGATACCGTCTTGATGAAGTAATATCGAGACAATTCGGATACATTTTGAAATTGTAGATACTGATATTGAAAATTAATACCAAATGCTAAGTTGACGTGATCCTCGTTATGAATCGGTACTGCCATACCGATAAGTAACTGAAATATTCATAAAATTGTTATAACCTTAATAAGTTAAAGTTTAAATATTCTGTTTTTAACTCTCTACTATTGCTAAAGGTTAAAAGTATTATTTTCTCTTATGCGATAGAGTTTAAAGTTACTTAGTTAATCTTATTAATATTACAAATGCGAAAGTTTAGATGGATGGATGTTTTTAGAGTTTGTAGCCCAAACGGCTGAACGGATCTCGATGAAATTTGGCGTAGATGTAGGGGATAGTCTGGAAGAACACATAGGGTATTCACTTTTGTTTTTTTTTTTAACTCCACGCGGACGAAGTCGCGGGAGAAAACTAGTAATTTTATAAATCCGAAAGTTTAGATGGATGGATGTTTGTAGCCTAAACGGCTGAACGAATCTCGATTAGATTTGTCATATATGTAGAGGATACTTTAGAAGAACACATAGGCTACTCACTTTTGTTTTTTGGAACTTCACGCGGACGGAGACATGTGCAAAATCTATTATAAATAAATTAAATTTGGTAATTCTATGAAGAAAATGTTTTAAAACGATCAAAGTAAAGATTACAATCATAATGTCTTAATATAAAGGAAAACTTCAAGTATTAATGAGAATGATTCGAATTGTATTAGTCTATACCAATTGAGAACTTACCTAGATAGACTAGTAAAAAGTATGGATTAATATTGTCAAAAAGAATAGGCTTAAGAAGAGAGTGGATTCAGTTATAACGACTGATAAAAATGTATGGAAGAGCAGCACATACTGTGCCGACCCTTCATTAAATTAAATAAATCAAACAATAATATTACCTTATATGTACCTCCATAAGGAAAAACCAAAGGAATACTGTTAATCTGCCTTCTTGTTCTAAAATCTTCTAAACTATCCAAAATAACAACTCTTACTAAAACAGAACAAACGAAAAACAGACCTATTTCAAACCTGAAAATAAGAGAAAAAACAATTATAATCAAAACTGTATATAAACTGAACAAGTTATTCACTACGTACGTATTTTAACTATTTTAATAAATACAGAATTAAAAAAAAATAGGTTGTTTATGTCAAAATACGTGGCAAAATAAGAAAACAATTTCTAATCAATATTACCTTGTTTTCATTTTTTATTCTTTGTATACATAAAACGTGAAACTTAAAATGCTTGCATACTTGTATATGTTATACATAGTAAATGACACGCGCCATATTTTAAGTCATATAAGCTCACACCGCGCGTCAGACCGTGAAGTTTTCTGTAAGTTCCGGCACTCGCAACCCGTCCGTTCTACTTTAAGTATTAAGACGTGTTCACACGAGTCACATTTTTCACACTTTGAAAAGACATTTTTCAATTTTTTAAATCACTATAAATTTTTGATTATCGTTTTCGAGATCGTCGGTGGCTTAGTGGTTTAAGCATTTGACTTGTAATCTATATGTCTTGGGTTCGAATCCCGCCATGTACCATTTTCGATTTTTCGAATTTTCATATGTACAAAATTTACACGACGTTCTTACGGTGAAGGAAAACATCGTGATGCAACCTGCACATGTCGGTGAAGAAATTCAAAGATATGTGTGAAGTCAACCAACCCGCAGTGGGCCAGCGAGGTTTACTATGGCCTAGTCACCCCTTACTCAGCGGATCATGATGATGATGATCGTTTTCATGTTTGAAATAATACGTTTTTAAAATCTGCAAGTAATGTCAAAGAGTACTTACGGCACAGAAACATAAAACGGGTTGACCAACGCCCACATCGACGATTAGCAGAGGTATATTTCAATTCAAAAGTGTTTCTTTTTACAAATTTCTTTTGAAAGTGTTGAGAAATGTTGAATTACTCTGTAGGCTACTGCTAAAACGACTGTATGTAAAAACAATCATGTTTTATTTTTAATTAATAGGTCAAATCCTAGAACCAGAGCAGAAACTAATGGATACGTACACTTGGAACATTTATCTATACTAATATTATAAAGAAGAACGATTTGTAATCGTCTGTATTGAAATAGTTCAAAAACTACTCGACCGATTTCAAAATTTTTCGGGAGTGTTCCGAGGAGTTGTTTGAAACCATCCTCACCATCTCGATGGCTGGCGTTCCACAACCGTGTGGATTTCGCGGAACTTTCTGCCCCGCACAGCCGCATTTTAGAACTGTCGTCGACGGTATTTCCAAACCAATACTACTTAGGGTCCTTCAAGAAACTAGCCTTTTCCTCAAAGGCCGCTCGTTTGCCTCCTTTTATTAAAAAAAAAATCTTTCACTTATAGGATGTTTTTTATTATTATTTTTTTATTTCACGAAGACAAAATTGCCAGGAACAGTTCTTCATATTCATATAAAAATTTCTTTAACAATAATTATTCTCACTCTAGTGTGAACTCGTGTTTATTTCATAAATCTCCGTAGTCACATGATTCTATCCATCAGTGCACTAATTTGTTTATCCAATAAACACGTCACGAGACGAAACATGAAAATGGTTTAGAAGTTCACTCTAATTCCGTATACGAAAGACATGTTTTTAACACGTTTTTTTAAAGAAAAAATCTAAAAAAATAGATATACATTTTCTGCTCACTACTTCTACTTCGGATTCGTAATAATTTTAAAATATTGTCGTTATTTACATTTTAAATTTACTGATTTAAGCTTAACTAAAGGACATTAAATAAAGCCAAAAAAGAATTTATATAAATTGTAATATTTTATTGTCTATCGCAACACGTAATTGAAGTTGTCTATTCCTATCCTAGTCACTTCATACTTGAACGTTGGTTTATCATGTACAGAATATATCTCTTGATCTTTGTTCTTTGTATTGTACCAAATATCAGCTCGAGTGTATCAGATATAGGAAGTGATGTCTTACAAAGAAGCAGGAGACAATTATTGTTCCCTAATTCAACTCTCTACCAGGTAAGGTGTTTAATTATACTTTTGTGATCAACAGAGAGTAACAACAATTTGCTATGAAGCAAACTAGCCTATAGCTTTCTTTGATGTTTCGTTTTATCAGTAAGTTATGTCAATTTTGAACATATCAGTCTAAAATTAAAACTTTACTAATGTAAATGCGGAAGTTTAGATGGATGGATGTTTGTTAGATTTGTAGCATAAACGGCTGAATGGATCTCGATGAAATTTGGCATAGTCTGGTCTGGAAGAACACAAAGGATTAGTTTTTTTTTTATTTCCAAGCGAACGGAGTCGCGGGCGAAAGCTAGTTAATAATAAAAGTCTTATTTGCTATCACAGCCAAGATTATGTTAAAATTTTGCTATGATTTATTTTCATTTTCAAAAATAATAATTTTTTTTTAAATATACTATGAGAAAAAAATTAAATAAAATCGACAATTGAGTTAATAATTAAGAATTAACTATTACTAATTGTTTATTAAAATAATCTAATATTAATTACTGAAGATTACTGTCGTGAAAACTTGCATAAAAATATTGTCTGTTTAAAAAAATAATATAAGCCGGCGCACATTTGACTAAACTGTCGCGTACCCGTTGTGCGATTGTCAATTGTTTCGCAGCAAATTCAACTGTTTAGTTGCACAACTAAAAATCGAGTAGTGTGCCCATCTCCATATAAGCTTATAGTTAGTAATTAAACGAGTAAACAGTTGTGGGATAGTTTGGTTTCAAGGGTGCGTACGCTAAATATGTTATACAAGGATTTGAAAATGGAATTTCGCTGTCCGAATGTTTTCTATAAAAAAATGTTTAAAATTTATTTTAAATTAAAACTAAAACAATACACAATCGAATATTTTAGTTGAACGAGTATTACAGTTCAAAACATCAGTCATTCTATTACTGGAGGCATCGGAGCGTTTGATTAAATCCAAACGAAAAGCTTTATTTGCCATCAGCTTTATTTAATTGAGTTCGCTATATCTACATATTACATTTCGATCCAGATTTATATAATTCATTCGGTTATCTATTGCAAAAGTAGTTTTTTAATTACTCTTCTATGTTACTATCCAATTCTAGTCAGTATAAACGAATTTGCGTCCGTAACGCCGTCTGTATTTGTTGTGTTCATCCAAATTATCCTCTACATCTATGTCAAATTTCATCGAGATCCTTTCAGCAACTTAGATAAACTGTAACAAACATCTATACATCTAAACTTTTGCATTTATATAGTATAAATAATCTTAAAGGAGAAAGAAAAGATTTACATTTTTATATAAATTGAAGTAACTCAAAAACTACAAGGCCGATTGCAATAATTCCTTCTCCTTAAACATAAGTCATAGTTATTACAATTGTTATTTCGCGGACAAAGACGCAAGCAGCAACTAGTATTTTATAAAGAAATAATTGCAAGGGTAAGTGTGGAATAGGATGAAAAGGACAATACATCCATTTTCAATATACTCCCCTGTAAATTAAAGAAAAACCAAGAATCTGCAATTATTAGGAGCTATCTTAGGAATTGCAGATACGTTGTTTTCCTTTATCTATATGATATCTACTGGCTGTTACCGTGTCGACTAACGTGACTTATTTATCCACTTTCTATCTTCTAGTATACCAATACCATTTGTTTGTGAATCTTGATTTCATATAGAGTAACAAAGTTCATCTTTGTATTCCAGTTGACTATTGGCTTGGGAACACCATCACCAGCGAAACTGATCAACGTGAATTGGGCAATACAAGCAAACTTTCAATTACCGTGGAACAGATCTCAAATACCATTTGATATATTAGAAACGGACGCTACTTATAGCGGAGTATCTAGAAAACGAGAAATAAATGCACCTGAACTTCAACAGAAAGAAGAATATTATCAAAATGATGCCAAACTATATCACTTTTATAAATATCTAGAAGATGTTTTAAATGGGTGAATTTACTTATTGAATTCCGTATGTCTTATTGACTGACTATCGCCCTTGATTTCGTCCGCATGGAAGAAAACAAAAGCAAGTAGCCTATGTATTTTTCCAGACTATCCTCTACAGTGGTAGTGCCCGCTTTAACATCTTAGCACGAATGGGCCGGCACGCCCGGTGTAATACCACGATCAAAGACAGGCGTGAAATGAAAGCAATTCCGTGTTTCGTCTGATGAGTGTGGTGCCGGAGGCCTAATTTAAGTCCCTTTCTCTTTACCATCCTTTTCTTATAAGGAGAGGTTGGGAAGGGGAAGTGGATTAGACGGTGGAGGAGATGCATAGGAAGGGGAATTATCCTCTTTATGTGCGTCTCCTCCTCCGTCGTATAAGGGTAGGCAACGCATCTGCAATTGCGGATGTCTATGGGCAGCGGTCGCTTCACCATTTTGGCGGATTCTAGTGTCCGCTTGTTCGTTTGCCACCTTATGTTATAAAAAAAAAACATCTACTCGAAATTTCATCGAAATCCGTTCAGCAGTTTAGGCTATAAACTCAGCCAAAATTTTTCATTTATGACATTAGTAAGATTTAACAATATGCATTTCACATGTCAGTGCACAAAAATATACACATGTCTTAAAGTGAATTTAGTTATGAGCTGATAGAGATACATAAGGAAAAGTAATAAATAATGTGACTTATAAGCGATTCGGTCATAAAAACCGATTTTAAGGTATCGTATAATCTCAAATATGCCTTACTTTGTATTTCCAGTTATGGTCACAATGGTTCATCTTGCGTGTTAAGAACACTTTGTCATCTTGCTACTGAGCCTCTGCATGTCGACGATGAAGAAGATATCCTACATGATATAGCATCTTTTATACTGAAGTAAGTTTTATTTAAAAACAATCGAATCATTTACGTAATTGTGCGCCAAACTGGACTCACACGGAGTAATGCAACGAATTCAATGACACGCTCTGTTAATCTTTTTATTTTATAAAACAATGAAATCGATATAAACAAACCTACATTCATACATAAATATGTATAAATATAATTATATGTGATTGAATGTGGATGGCTACAAAGGTAGAGGAAGACCGAAGAAAGTATGGATGGATTGTGCGAAAGAGGATATGCTTAAGAAAGGAGTGGATTCAGATATGACGACTGATAGATGTGTATGGAAGAGCAGCACATACTGTGCCGAACCTCCGTAAGGGATAAAGGCAAGTGGATGATGATAATACTAGCTTTTTCCTGTGACTCCACTTGCGTGAAATTAAAAAACAAAAGTACGTAGCCTGTATGTTCTTCCAGACTATGCTCTACATATAAGCCAAATTTCATCGAGATCCGTTCTGTCAATTAGGTCACAAACAACCATCCATCATCTATAATATTAGTAAGATTCTCTATCAATCGGGATTAACATAAATTCTGCAAAAAAGAGAATCGAACACCAGACTAACATCTGAATACCTTAAAAGTAAAATTTTGTTGAATAAATGTCCAAAAAAAATGTTAATCGTTTAATTAACTTTACCGCAGTTGACGGACACATTAATATAAATATCTTTCATTTTCAGTCCCGAAAACGATCGCCATGACGACGGTTCAATAGTCCCGGAAGCGACGCCCTACATCGACGCGCTCAAAGCCGAAAACGTTCAACAATGCTTCAATAAATACGATTGCTCGATTCCCCTTATTGATATGTACACGAAATTAAATATGTAGAAAAAATGTTATTTTATTTACATCGCTTACGCAATTTAAATAATATAGAAAGAGGAAAAAATATGCAGTTTACTTGAAGTTATTTAACCATAGTAAAACAAATGCCTGTTAATAAAAATTAAATTATATTAAAGCGTGAATAAAGAAGAAGGTAAAGAAAGTTTAAGAATACTGGCTGTTGCAAGCAACTTCATCCCTGTGAATTAAAAAAAAACAGTAAATAATATAGCATCTTAGATTGAACATAGCTTTTTATTGGCGAAAAAAATTGTACTAAATTATTGAGTTTAAATAAATAAATTACAAAAATACAAATATTTCCTCTTAATAATCTACATCTATACTATTATAATAAAGCCTAAACACATACTTTGTTGTTGCCTAAGATGTCAGCAATCACAGCATATTTTTGAATAATTCTTTTTTTAATAAAAAGACTACACTTAGGTCTCGCTTTAGGCTATATATTTTCTCGCCATCAAATTGAGGGGATAAATATTTTGAATAAAAACCCTAACGTGGGAAAGAGACTATAAGTTGCTGCAAACATCAAGGAAGCAAAATTGCCAAGTTTTGTCATGTCATGTCATTTTGACTAAAATTGTATTCCGCACAGACTCATATAATGTTCAGAGCCGCCGAAGTATATGACCACCTCTATACAGTAATACGATTTTTGCCAATCATTTTAAGTTCATCGTAACTATTACACCAAATTTATATTATAGGTCGCGTGCCGAATGTATAATCTCCAAATTAGATAAACACGATCATCTATGTTTGAAAATCGTGATTATCATATTGGAGGCGATTCAAAAAGTAAAGTACAAAAATCTTACTGTCAACTAGAGGTATGTAACCTTCCACAGTATGATTCAAAAAATTATACAGTAATTCGTTTCTCACTTTTATATGGTTGACAAAAAGGTTGTGTGTATACATTCAGTCGGTCTAAACGACGATTTTGACGAGTGAAGTATGATCCGATTATTCGTCTTCCCTGCAGTATTATAGAGCATATTCAATCGGCACAAAAGAAATAAAGTAGACGAGAGAAATCAGAATGCAATTATTAAAATTTTATTTGTTTGTTTGTTACATTTGTCAAATTATTAATTGAAAATGACATGACATGATTACAATGTATTTCAATCTTACTTCCTTGATGTTGGCAGCCTGGAGCTTATTGTCCCTTTCCTACATTAGGTTTTTATACAATATATTTACCCCTAAGTTTAAGCATGAAAATATATAGCTTAAAGCGTGACGTAAATGAAAGGCTTTTTATTAAAGTAAGAATTATTCAAAAATATGCTTTGATTGCTGACATCTTACGACACAAAGTAGTGTGTGTTACGCTTTATTATATATACGTATAGATAAATAAATACGTGTTTTAGCATTGAAATTTATGATATTTGATTATGAATAAAATCTGTGTTTTAAAAAATAGACAATCTACCCTACCCTAGTGTTATATCATAATTCTTATATGTGGATTTTAATCTCTCTTAAAATTACCTTTGTCGTAAATTGACTGGAATTATTTTGTAATTCCCTTGCTCTTGTATTTATATCTAATATTTCTGTCTTCACATTTAGATAGCTTTGATAATGTATTTACCGTATTTCGGAACTACCTTCAAGTAAATCCATCTCAAACAAAACTTTAACTACACCCAGACAGAGTGAAACTTCATTAGTTGTTGCAATTACAAGCTTGCGAAGGAGAGAGCGTCTTAGCCTTCTTGCAAAATGCATTTGCGTCTGCTGTAACATCTTTACTTAGTGCGCTGGTCAATGTGTTTAGAATTTTAATAGCTGTTTAAAAATCAAGGTTTAAGAAATTTTAATATATTGGTTCATGTTCTTGTTTCTGTAAGTTTGTGGACACGTGTAGTCTAGACTAGTTCAGTTGCCATACCCATCCTAGTAAGGAAAGAATATGTAGGGAAAGATTAGACATGTAATGGAATGTGAAGGAAAGTTTTAAGTTCTTTCTTTTTTATATAAAAAAGGCGGAAAACGAGCAAAGGGCCACCTGAATCCACCGAAATGGAAAGCGACCGCTCCCCATAGACATTCGCAATTGCAGATGCGTTGGCTACCCTTAATTGACGGAGGACTAGACGCACATAAAGAGGACATTTTCCCTACCTATTCTCCTCCACCGTCAAATCCACTTTTCCTTCCCATCCTTTCCTCTTAAGGGTGGAAAGAGAAAGGGACTAAAATTAGGCCTCCGGCACCGCACTCATCAGACGAAACGCGGAATTACTTCCACTTCACGCCTGTTTTCTGTGTGGTCGTGGTATTACACCGGACTAGGCGAACCATTCGTGCAACGATGTTAAAGCGGGTTCTACCACTGTTCTGTTTTCTTGATCACCTGTCATATTTGATTTTAATCATATTGTACAGAAAATTCATCCATTCTTTTCTCGTTCTTTAATGTTACTGTCCAAACTATTTTTAGCAACATTCATCATCAAGTTACCCTTGTCCCTATTGAGGGTCGGCACATTCTACTCTTCCATACTATCAGCCGTCATATTGGAATTTTCTTCTTAAGCATATCGTTCAATCCATTCAATTCGTTCTACCTCTATCTCTGTAGCCATTCAATATTAATACTTTCTTGTTTAGTAACAACCTGTATATCATACAAATAATACATCACCAAAAATATTTTAACCGAGTTAAATCAGAGCAACAATGACGTCGATAAGTGAACATTACATATAACACTAGTTATTGTAACCGTTAGTATTTTTGGCGATCACGACTTTGAAGTCTCTTATGGATTAATGTTTCTGTTCATGCAGACTAGAGTTTAAAGACTTATTTGGTTAAGATTTAAATTTAGAATCAATTGCTATTTTAATTGGAAAAAGTGTATATGAATAGGTCCATTGATAAAAATAAGTGTTCTGTATTTTATAAATAAAGTAAGTTTTTATACATGCAAAGGCGCGTATTTAATATAATTGATAAAGATTGGATAACACTTAAAGAAATTAAATAAGCTATTGGATTGCATTATTAGAATTAAGAAATACTTATTAAAGTTAACTAGACTACATTGAACAATTTAATATAATTGCTGTAGAAAACATTTCTTATGTAAAATTATCATTTTCAGGTTGAGGACGATCATCTTCATCACTAGCTCTCTATAAGTCCCCACCTAGGGGCTCGAAGCCTACCCTAAGTAGGACTAGGACTAGGCCATAGTCATCACTAGTTCGTCAGAGGACGAAAATGACAGAATAAAATTAAAAACAAATTAAAAAAGACGTTCACAATCATTAATGGGATTCAGAAAAAAGAGATAATGAGAAGAATTTATCAGATAATATTTGTATGTTATACTTGTTTGATGTTATTTGTGTCATTCGAGTACAGTGAGGCGAATGAAGGAAAACTGACAAGTCGTAGAAACAAAAGATATCTAAGCTTCAGTAACATATCACATTTCTTTGTAAGTAAACAAATTTTAATATTAACGTTTAATTCAAATTTCATTTATTTGTATCCACTTGGAATATGTTCAAGGAAATGTTACCCGACTGACAAAGGCAATGCTAACACGCGTATGCAGTTTTATGTCAGTAAATTTCTACAAATTATAACCCTATAATAAAGCTGAGAAAATAACCAATCGAGTGACGTAAGTCGTAGATCAAAGAATGAATATACACACTGGTAAAATAATTGGATAGACTATGGTATTCTACAATAGCCGTAGGGTTCCAAAAGTAGACTATGTGTTCTTCCAGACTATCCTCTACATCTATGCCATTCATCGAGATCGTTAGCTAGTTTAGGCAACAATCTCCAAAAATCAGGAAAC